TAATCAGTGGGCGCGTATCTGGATGTATATACAAATGTAAATATCAATTGTTGCGTTATTGTTTGTGTTTTCGGGTGCCTTTGATTTGATGATTGTTTCTATATAGCAATGTATAACTATTTACATATATGGCTTTGTATTGTTTGACGTATTCATAGGGAAAGAAAATGATAATAAATAATATACATATATATATACCTGTATTTGTTTGTGATTGGTTTGTATCTGTAATACGTAAGTACGTCAATAAGAAAATTTGTTATTTCGGATTCATGATGTCGTTGCCTAAAAATTAATAAAGTCATAAACATATTTGGGAGACTATTTAATGCTCTTTTTTGTTAGAGCCTACTACCTATAATATAACGTTTACTGGAATGTATGGAACTAAACGATCTAACATCAACATTACATATTTAGTACAGTTTTTTGCCTATCAATATACTTTACCGTTTTTTAAATTGATGTATTAGAATAAAAGATTTTGAAGTAAAACTAACCATAGGTGATTGATTGAGTTTTCTACAAGCTTAAGTAGAAACTAGTCTGCTGAGGGAACAAAAAATTAAATCCCTTAAAGAAAAAAAAAAAAGAATCATAAAAACTTTAACAATTTGAAGATTTTGACCCTTACAAATTGTTTCGTGTATGGTGGAAAAGCAGTGCTTGGTTAGATATAAGGCGTGAAAAAAATGTATAACAGACCGCGCGGAAATATTGCTTCTTTTACATCTGCTAGCAGTAGCTGAGTATTACAAGAGAATACAAATACCTACTTGTAATCGACTTAGAACAGTAGTCTGTGTATATCATCAACAACTTTTATAATTGGCTATTTCTGTACAACTATACAATTTTGTAACCTATATTAATTTCTTATCATCGGCTATGCCATCTTTAAATTAAATTTAATTATAAACACAATTTTAAATATATCTATATTTTATTTAGATATATTCAAAATGAAACTATATAGCCCAAATTCTAACATGTAAGTTATACTACTTGGTATTTAACTTAATAGTTAAATTAAGTTAAATACTAAGTAAAAAACTAGAGTTTCACAAGTCAGTTTCAGTTAACAGCCAGATAATAATAACGGATTTTAACTAAGTTTTGTGTAGTGATTACATATTACTCGGGTCAAAGTTGAGGATACCTTTTAGTACAGGAAATTGGAAAATACGTCATTTCTACGGGAAAGAATAATTGGTTCAGATCAGTTCTTTTTCTTACAAAAAATTTAATGATTGATTACACAAAAAACGATTAGTTAACCTACCTACCTACCTAGCAGGGCTTAAAATTAGCTTTATTGAAACGATTTTAACTAATAGAAAGAGCGATAATTAGGAATTATGATATACTCTGACGTCACATTCGGTCTGACCAATGGCGTTGCTTTTCAACTACCTTGAATTTTCCACCTGTTTTTGCACTTTATTATAATTATTTTCTTAATCAAAAAGAAATAATATTAAAAAATATGTATTATAAATATAAATAATTTAAATAAATTTTTGAATGAATAATTTAAATGATTGAGTAAGAAAATATTTTAAAGAATCTTCTGAGTTAAATAAATTATGGGTAATATAGGCTTAAATCTAAAGCAATGAAGATTGTAAAAAAATATTTTCCTTATTATTATCTGATTACAACAAAACAAAATAGGTACTTAAGTATTCGGTATTCGGCCGAATATGATAAAAGTAGCCGAATAAGTCGAATACCGAATAATAGCGAAACTCTTATTGAAATAGTTATTATTATCGATACAGAAGCCGAATATATACTTTTTAGAATATTTGTCTGTCTGCCTGTCTGTTACCGCATCACGGAAATACCACTGGAGGGATTTTGATGAAATTTGGTATGATGATAGCTGGTTATCCGGGTCAACAAATAGGATACTTCTTGCTGCGGGAAAATATCTCATCTCTGAAAAATCTATACTAAACGTTAAAAACGTAAATAGGGACGAACCTGAGCTGAGCGAGGGTGAGTCGATAGTTAACATATAAATCAAAACTAGCTGTTGGATGAAGTAAATACAAAGTACAAAAAAGTTTTAAAGTTGTAGTCGGATATTATGTTACATCATTGCTAGTACTACCATCTAGATTTTAATCCTGAAACTATAATGTACAGATTACATGAAGCTTAGAGTAACGTGTCATATTTTTGTAATTTTTTAAGTGTTAAAGGTTTTTGTCTAGGATTGACGTATAAAAGTAAAAACAATTAACAATTATTGTTTATTTAGCATTATAAATAATATATAAGAATAATAAAAAATAATAATCAATATATTTTTTTGATAAAATACTTTGAATTAAAAGTTATTATTATAACAAAATACAAATACAATTATTACAAACCTGATTGATTTTATTAGCAAAATGTCTCTGTTTTGTCAATACTCTGCGTTAATCTCTTAAGGCTCCGACACACAGTGGCACAGTGCCGTTGGCACTGCCGTCGGCCTTATCACCGGGCATGTGCTGGCGGCACAGACGCCAGCGGTACGTCTCGCTTGTCAAAAGGCTCTATAGAGGCCGGCGGTACTGTGTGTAGGAGTGAGGAGCCTTTAGCTGTGAGCTGTCATTTGAACGGATAGTCTGAGAGTTGTTAGATATCTAAAAGATTAGTATTAGAAACATCGGTGAAAAAATATGTATATAACTTAGTCAACCTTCTTACTGTACCAAAACTTTATCATACAAACAAAAACTTTTAAATTTATTTTTTTGTAAAATAAAAAAATAAGTCTGATTATTTTTTGAGTTATAATTTCAATAATTTAATTAATTACTAGCGGGTAACCGGCTCATCTTCGCTTCGCTTGGTTTCGCCTCTAGACAAATAAAAACAAATCTATCCCACGGGAACCGTACATTTTTCCGAGATAAAAAGTAGCCTTTTTGTTATTCTGATGTATGAACTATATTATTGTTAAGTTTCATTAAAATCCAATTAGTAGTTTTTGTGTACTAAGCTGTATAAATCACTATAGCTTTTCAACTATCCCACGGGAACTCTTTAATTTTCCGGGATGAAAAGTATTTAAAATGTTGTCCGGGGATATAAGGTAGGGACCGCCATGCAAAATTTCATTTAATTGGATCCAACAGTTTGGGATATTAGCCCATACAAACAGACAAACAAACAGAAACAAAAAAAATGAAAAAGAAATTGGAGTTGTTCTATTTCTCTTCTTACATCCTCCTGGCTCCGTTTTAGCATTTTATTGTATGTACAGACATTCGACCTCTACAATTTTATTATTTGTAATATAGATTTAGATCAATACCGTATCGTTCTGGTGGGACTCATCTTTTGCCTATTAGGTAACTAGTATAGTATTATATGATCTGTGTGTGAAGAATATGGAAGGTAGAAGTAAGGAGGATCATCTTGTATGGGGGATTAGTTGAAAAAGTTGTAAACAGCAAATTATTGTTTACAACTGGGTGTAGGACATGGACATTATATGAATCTAGCAGTTATAAACAAAGTGAAGTGTGCACTTGCTGGGTTGAAATTTTTTTTTGACTTTTGTAGTTAAGAAATATGCAGTATTTAAAATCTCAACTATTTATGTAGTCCACTGTAATTTAGTAAATAATCACCGGTAAAACTCCTGAAATAACATACATAGTGATTTGTTTTTTATGAGATTTTGTTGATACATCTTTGTTATTTTGCTGCTTTTATTGTTGGTAATGCAAAAATAATGTCTTTCCTTTTTTTAATTTAGTATCCAACTCTAATAATTTGTGGCGCTGCTTGAATAATTCTTCCACTTGCTACTAAAGCGCCACCTTAATTTGCTCCCTTTCAACGGATACTTTTTAATACACTGAGATGGTCCTCCTTACTTCTACCCTCCAATAATAAAAAAGTAATCAAGGAAAATATAGATCAGAAAAAGCGTGAGATTTATAACGCAACTTGTGGTTTATATTGAATTATAAATTAATCAGTAAAATTGTAAAAAGATGAAAATATGAGCTAAGAATTCAATATTAAATTCGCCTTTCGTAATGAAATCCTATACTATTTCTAAATAATTATTGTTACTTATATAAATATAAAATATTACTTAAAAGATAGTAATTGAAAGGAAAGGAAAGTAGACATTATTACCTTAACACGTTACATTAAGTTACTAAGTAGACCTTTTGATAGATATTGATAGATGATGACAATGAGGCTGAACTGTTGAAAATGGAATTCTTCCAGTTTTATATTGTCTGAAATTTTCAAAGTAAATGAATTAAGAGAACACTTTTTAACAAATTTTACAAAGTATACACTATATAGTTCAAAACTTAACTACAACCCAAAATTGAGGGTACCAAATACTTCTCGTAAAATATCTAATAGCTCTTCGACTATAATAAAAGCTTTGAAGTTTGACAAATGACAGCTTTAAATTAGTTCACAATAATTTAATCATATATCATCATAGTCGTGTTCATAGAGTGTATTGCTACATTGGTCGTGTTACTGTTAGTGTTAGGAGACGAAGCTTCACTAAATAACGTGTATTATTTATTATACAGTTAAGTGATATAATTTTATTTTAAAAGCCTTTTCGTTAATTCGATTGAAAAATAGTGCATTGAACCGCTGTACATTGTTTTAATTTCGTGTAAATTTTTCGAGAAGCGTGCGAACATTTTACGAGACACATCTTTATTCATTAGTGTAATGATATGTAAAAACAGATGTGTAATGATCTCATAACGTAAGGCGGCATATATGTGCACTGGTGAGGACTGAGGGGACCGCGCGAGAGGAAGCGTGCGTTATCTTAACGTTTGGGTGACGTTTTCCCACTATTGGAGCTTATCGCCTCGGAAGCCAGACCGCCTATGTGGGACGATATAAAACGTTTTATTACACGAGTGTTGCAGCCACCGTTCCCAATTTTATGAGTAACAAGCTCATTAGCCGAAGTCCATTGAACTCGTTCATCGATTAGTCTAGAAAATATGACGGCATTTCTTCAATTATTCTGCCTAATTCTGCTCTTCAGTAGAAATTCAGAGGGCACTTCTGAACGTAAGTTTTCTTGACCTATATTAAGCTGGCGTAATAGAACTATAGCCAGTATATTTTTTGTGAAATTGTTATGTGCAATACTTTAATTCTTAAGCTTTTAAAATATCCATTAAAAATGTAAAGTAATCTAGTTAGATATACTATTTATATATTTTTCATATATTATGAGAGAGAGAGAGACCACACAGAGACCTTATTTAAAAATATAATAACTATATTATTTTGCTACTGATTTATTATAATAGTCCACCTAAATGTAAAAATTAGTAAATTTAAATGTAATGAAAAATGCAATAATAATCTTTATCTTAGTATAATTTAATTTTATTTAATTGTACAGTTATAATGATTAATTTAAATGAAATATCATTTATCATGAAATGTAGTTATAAAATTTTAGACATTTAGATATTGAGACTGTGGCACTAAAATATGTGATGTTTTTTGATTAATTGTAGAAATATTTAGTCTTTGTAGGATATAAATGTTAATCAATTATTAGTATATTGCTCAGCATTATAGATAGATACTTTGTACATTTGATTTTATGTATTTAATAAATGCTAGACTCTATACCATAAGTTTTTCTGTTTAAATAATATTAGTGAGTTTAGAAGCAAAGCGAATTATAATTATAAACTTGTATATCTAATTTGCATATCCTATACTTAACATTATAAATGTGAAAGTGTGTTTACTTATTTGTCATTCTGTCATATCAAACAGAGGATGGATTGGCACTATTTTTTGAGTGGAGATAGTTGGCAGGCTGGAGACATAAGCTATTTTTACTGTAGGGGATTATTTCATTCTCACAGTAAAACATGTTATAATATAATACAACCCACAACAACTAATCATACCTATATATATATATATATATATATATATATATATATATATATATATATATATATATTGTATAATCTATTCCATACTAACTGTTAAAATGTATCTAGGCATAGACCCGAGCAAAGCGAGTGTGAGTCGCTGGTATCCAAAATAAATGATCTTCATGATTATAAAAACAGATTTATTTGTTTAAAGAGAATTGTCCATTGCATTGACCAATCTATTACCATTTTATTATGCTTCATGTTCTTTGCACTATTTAATAAGTTGCATAAGCGAAATCCTGCATATTGAACTTTTATGTACTTACTACTTTTTATAAAAATATAATAGAGTGTCAATAACATAACTGCTGCATTTGCCTATTCTGTAATGTCTTAAAATAAAGAAATTAAAATATTGTTTGTTTTCTTTTAATTTTTCACAGAGCCTGAGATTTCGGTCTTCACTGTAGCTACACAGAAAACTCATGGACTGGAACGATTCCTACGATCAGTTCAAGTTTATAATATTAATGTTGAAGTACTGGGCATGGATCAAAAATGGGTAGGTGGCAATATGGAGCATCCTGGAGGAGGCCAAAAAATTAATCTCCTTAAAAAAAAACTAAAATCCTTGAAGAAGTTAGAGGACCGAGACCGAATAATTTTGTTTACTGATAGGTAAGTTTTTAGAGTAAGATAAAAAAATAACACCCTAATAAAATCCCTAGTTCTCGGAGCTCTACAATTATCAAATCTTTTATTTAATTTATAATATATTGACTAAGAAGTTGTATTTTTTGTATATTTTATGCTGATAATTACTCAAATCATATCAGTCATAAAAAAACAACAGGGGTCAAACTCATTCAATATTTCTGTATAAAAAAATCTTATCATTATTATAGGTACAATGACTAAAATCTGAACTGATGATAATAATTCTTTGTCTATACAAAGAATTCTTTATGTAAAGCAATATATTACTTTATATTGTTTAATTATTATTATTTTTTAAATAATTTCCGAGACAGCTTGACCAATTTCTATGAAATTTTGTGTGATTATATTTATGAATTTTTCATACCACTGCGTGATTAGGTGGTGGTTAACCCCAAAAATTTTATTTTTATTTTTTGGACAATTTTTTTTATTTTTTTATGATTCGGCATTAAAAATACATACAAACCTTAATTTTATTTAAAGTATATAAATGTAGGTGAGTGAATGAAACTCCCTCATTCAATCTTCATACTGTAATTAAATAAAGGATTTGAATTAAATTCAGAACATAAATCACTATGCATTCACATTCTGAGTAATAATATATAGGGCTATTACTTTTTTGCTACATACCTATAATTTGAGGGTGGCCATGGGCAAAAACTTGTCTGTTATAAATACAGTGTTGTGCTTATAGTGTACAAATATAGTGTACAAACTAAACACCATTTCATCTTAACTAGTGATTGCTTCAATTAGGTAACCATGATACAAATGGGAGCTGTGCATAAATTGATTCAATTCAATCTTATTCAGTGCTATTGACGTTTTGCTACATGTATGTTACATTATTAAAAATATCTTTTTCATAGTTTTTTTTGAAAATTGAGCTTTTATGGTAGCTTAGATTTTTAATAAGTATACAATATACACTAATTATTGCATTACTATTAATAGAAAGATATTTGAATTATTAAAAAGATTTTGTTTTAATAAATATTTGTAGTTACATTTCTAAAGGCACATTATAGTATTTTCATCATAGCATGGTGCGGGTGATATTAGTCAAACTAATCCTTTTCACTAATGAATGTTCCCAGGATTTACAAATATGGCGTTATAGTTCTGCTTTAACCTTAACATTATGAGCGTAAGGTAATTAATCATTTATATCTGTAATAAATAAAACAGATGTAACCTATATTAAGCAACTATTTTTAAATACATTCAAAATATATAAAAAAACGATGCAATTTGTTATGCAGGTCTACGTCTTAGTGTTAGGACATTATTGTTAGTACTTTTACAAGCTATTTAAATTTTCATCTATAACATAAAAATCTATAATATAAAAATGAATCGCTGAATGTGTTGGTAAGCGCAAATCTCGAGAGCAGCTGAACCGTTTTAGCTAATTCTTTTTTTAGAATATTCCTTGAAGTACGAGGATGGTTCTTATGGAGAGAAAAATTTAAAAAATTGCCTGAAATAGTCTAAAAACAACACTTTTTTATACTTCCATACAAAAGATTCGTAATAGTACTTAAAAGTCTAAGTTTAAGTGTTAGTGCAGGAGAGGTTTCGGTACCCCCCCAACGTGCGTTCACCCACCTTGTCGTGGTGCGGGTTGCTCCTGGTACTTCTCTGATAGCAGAGTGGACTGTGGAGCAACCCCATGGTTGTGGTGGTCTGCTTCGGCAGACCTGCCGTCGGGGCGTCGTAGTTGAATGCGTAAGCGATCCTGCGACGCCCCATTAAGACGGGGGAAGGCTTTGTTGGGTTTTAGTGGGTAGTACTGGCTTTGCTGGTGAGTCCCACACCTCGTGCGTAAATGCATTTCCCAACGTTAAAAAAAAAGGAGAGGTTTCGGTAAGGCAAAACTTTGATGCACAAGATGGCAATTGACTGACGTTAGAATCGTATAAATATTAATGTCAATATTTGTCAATATTATTAACAAAAAAAAATAAAATTTATATGGCTAACGCTGGCTAATAACTATTTATATCTATTTAAAACGTACCTAGCGACAAACCCGAGCGAAGCGAGGGTGAGCCGCTAGTTTTTAAATAAAAAATTAAGAACAAATAATTAACTCTACGTAACTGATGCAGCCATATTTTGTATTCTACATCGGTCTTTCTTTTTTTGTCACATAATGGATCTCAAGATCTTTGTTTAAATGTTTTTTTGAACTGAAAGTAAAACATGAGTTTGGAATTAGCGCTATTTTAAAATAGGAGTATTTTAACGTTGAAATTTTATGGTAAAAATTACTATATAATTATGGAATCCATACTAATATTATAAATGTGAAAGTGTGTTTGTTTGTTTGTTTGTTTGTTTGTTTGTTTGTTTGTCTTCCTTTCACGTCGAAACGGAGTGACGGTTTAGCGTGATTTTTTGTGTGAAGATAGTTGGAGGGCTGGAGAGTGACATAGACTACTTTTTAACGCCAGAGATTATCTCACTTCCAAAGAAAAACACCTTATAATACAACTAAAGAAAATATTTATTATAAGAATAACTTGAAACTTGGTATTAATGCTCTTTAATACAATTGAAGAAATACGTGCTTTAGCATTTTTCGAAATTCATCCCATATGGGAGTAAAATAGAGGTTAAAAGTTTGTATGAAAACTACCTTTTTAGAGTTTTAGCGCGGGCGAAGCCGCGAGTTTTGCTAGTTATTATATAATTATGGAACGCGAATATTTAAAAAGTTATATTGCAAACCGGTACGGGCCGGAGTTAGCATCCCGCATCAAACATTCTACGGAATGTTTGCGACGGGAATAAGGTAAATAGACACTAACAAATTCACGCGCTAAGTCCCGTAGTGAAATTATTATATATTTATGCTAAAAATCTTTATCAATAAAATTGATATTGTCGTTACCTAATTCATAAGGTACTAAAAGGTGTTACCCGCTCCATGATATAATGAAAATGAAATGAAAATACTAACTACTAAGTTACATTAAGGAAACTTTATACTTACATTTACTTATATTAATTAAATTATTAATACACTTAAAATTTAATGTATATAATACCTTAATATTGGTATTTATATTTTATGTTGGCTAACTTTTTAATATTGTTTACAGCTATGATGTAATGTTTCTGGCTGGACTACAGGAAATTGTTGAAACGTTTCTAAACACGTATGCGCGAGTCCTTTTTTCGGCAGAACCCTTTTGTTGGCCCGACCCTACTTTAGCCAGTGAATATCCTGATACAACCATAACTCCTGCATTTTTGAACTCCGGTGGCTTTATAGGTAAATATTATTGAAATTTTTGGTACAAACTTTTTATTTGTCTTGCCTTTCAAATATGTTTGGGGATTTTTGGAACTTTTACAGGACTTTATAGCGAATAATAATCTACATAGTAGCTACTGATACAAAACGATTCGACTTCATGGTCCCCTAAGTTGATATGATTTAAAAACAAAATAAAGCCACTTACCAAAAAGGTCCTTCCCTTCCCTACCCTTCCCTTCCCTTGTGTATTTAATTAAGTTCTTTCTCGCAGTACAATCAAGTAATATCAATTAACTATTTTCCATTATTTATGCAGGTTATTATGCAGACATAATGAAGATATTGAATTTCGAAAAGGTTCGTGATGAAGATGATGATCAATTATTTTACACAAAAGTATATCTTGAAAAGGAATACAGAATTAAATACAGGATTCGCTTGGATCATACATCAGAGATTTTCCAAAATTTAAATGGAGCGTTGTGTAAGTTTTCATTATAATATAGTCTCATTAGTGTAAAACGCTTAAGTACTATAATTTTAAACAAATGGTCCTTTTTTTATTTTTAATTAAACGATGACAAGTTTGGCTCAGTGTGTAGTGACCCTAGTTGCTGTGCCAGCGGTCGCGGGTTCGAGTCCCGCTGGGGGCATTCATTGTGTGATGAGCACGAATGTTTGTACTCCAGTCATAGGTGTTTATATTTATAACATGTATGTATTTAAAGTTTATATATATGTAGTGTATCAACTATCTGGTATCCATAACACAAGCCTCGTAGCTTACCATTGAATTAGATAGTGCTGTGTATTAATGTCCCAACATATTTATTTATTTTATAATTAAATACGTAATTAAAATCTGAAAATTGAAAAAAATATTAATAAAAAAATAGTATGTACTATATTTATAGATCTTGATAATGTTTTCTTAATTAAGTATTTCTTGATTCATATATTAGATCTTTAGTAATTACCATAAAGTGTACATACAGTAAGTAATAAAAGTATAATAAATAAAATTATTCATATGTTTGGAACAGCGGATGTCGAGTTGGTAACCAATACTAGTGAAGGGGAATTCCCATATTTAAAGAATGTGGTGTCAAACACGCGTCCCCTCATCGTCCACGGCAACGGCCCCTCTAAACTAATTCTTAACCAATTCTCTAATTATTTGGCCAAAGCATGGTCGGCCCATGAAGGTTGCGCTATGTGTGATGAAAAACGAACTCCACTAAAGGTTTTTATGTTTTCTTTTATATAATACTAGCAACTAGAGGTTCGTCACTAACTTGCTTCCCAATACAAACTTTCATCCCCTTAAGGGATGATTTCATTTCCGGTATAAAAAGTATCCTATATCCTTCCCAGGGTCTCAAACTATCTTCTTACCAAATTTCATCTAAATCGGTTCAGTAGATCCAGAGATTACATCTTTATAATATTAGTATCGATAAAGTAACAATATAATTGCAATGAAAATTTTTAGAATTATTTTGTCTTTTTTGATATATTATACTCAAGTTTGACATTTTCTTATTTTTCGGCTAATAAAAATCACTTTTGCTATATTCTATTTTAAATATTACTTTTTTAATAAAATTTACTTGTCAAAAAATATGAAAGTCTAGATATGTTTCATAAAATCATATTATATAACAACAATTTTTTTTGCAGGAGGATTCGCTACCAAATGTGCTAATGGCGGTGTTCATTGAACAACCAACGCCTTTCTTGGAGGAATTTCTAACACAAATACAAAGTATAGATTATCCGAAAAGAAAAATTCATCTCTTCCTCCACAATAATGTTGAATATCATGAGTTGGAAGTAGATAAATTCTACAAGGCTAATTTCAAGGATTATCTCAGTGCCAAAAGGATTAAGCCCACTGATTTCTTGTCTGAAGCAGAATCAAGGAATATTGCTAAGTAAGTGTTGTTTTTATCGTCCAACTGATCTAAAAGGAGGGTAATGTTATTTGTGTATACTATACATATATTTATAAATTTGGTAGGCTAGCTAGCAACTATTAAATAGTGTTGGTAGTCAAATAGTGAATCAAAAAGAGAAGGGTTTATTCTTCTAAAATGAGTTGAGTGAGAGACTGGCTTTGCAACCCAAAGTTGATCTTTTATAGTTGGGAAATCCTATTACGGATACCACCCGACTTCCCCCGGGGTGGTTATGTGGAGACTCTCCGGCTAATGAGACCGGCATACCCACTAAAACCCAACTCCCCCCCCCTGCCGCCATGTGGGACGCCACGGGATCGCATTCGCATACAACCGCGACGCCCCGACGGTTGGCCGAAGCCACCAACCATGAGGCCGCCCCAAGCGGGACAACCCCATTATGGGAAGACTATCAACCCTAAGACGTGCGGCCGCTCCTAAGTCCACTCTGCTGATCAGAGAAGTACCCGGAGCAGCCCCACACGATCAAACACCGCCCACCGAAGTGGGCAACCTGCAAAAATAAGCGGCCTAAGCCTGAACCTACCTACCTACCCAAATTGGGCGAACCTCCCAGATGCCCGCGAACGAGCCCACCCCAAACGGCTGCAGGAGTAAAGGATGCGACAACGCCGACACTCCCCTTCACCTGCCGCCCCCTCACATCCGCCATCAAGCGGTGACGGCCCCGCTGGGCCGCGGGGGATAGGGACGAGCGGCGCATCGCCATACCGATACTCCTCTTCCCCCGCGGCCCCCCTACCGTCGGCCCACCTCCGGACCAAAATGGCTGCCGACATCCCTCGCCAGACGCAGGACCACCGCACTGGCCCCGCTCCAGCCGCCGCACCGACGGGCTAGCCCCGGCAGTGTAGCCCGCGCAGCGCCTCCTACCGCGAAACGGCCGGAGACACCGCGCTACCTCCAAGAAGGAGACGGTGCCCTCTGACGCCGCTCCCTCAACCCCTCTCCTGGCTGTTGGTCCGCGCCGGATTGCTCCGGTACCACAAGCTCCTGTCGGGTCCAAACAGGCGCGAGTGGTGTTCCCTATCCGCCACCCGGGGGACGCGTCCGGTAGCAGTCAGCCTCTGCCCCGGAAAAAGTGGATCTTGGCCTCTGACTTTTAACTAAACTTAACTTTTCTCTAAGCTGGCAATGGTCTTTTCAAAAAATAATATAATTAAAATATATATATATATATATATATATATATATATATATATATATATATAATTAGTAGTATGAATATATGTAGTATTATTATTAGTCTGTGTATAAATATTAAAATTTAAGTTTTAATTCATACTTCAGGTTTGCGAGCACAGTATGAATATAAATCTGGGGCATAGTTAATTAAAGATAATTGTCTTTTTATTAAGACACTATTTAAGGGAGATATGTAGCAATAAAAGCGTTAGTGAGATTGTTTATATTTATTGATCAATTGTATTACATATCTAGCTCAGACTCAGACAGTATTTTGTATAGGCATATGTTAACGTGGAAAGTTTCATTCAAACTCGAAAACTGGTTTCGCCAAGTATAATTAATTATTAAACTGCTAATATAATATAAAATTATTAATCCCTCTACGACCGCGGACCAGTTAACAATAGATTACTTAGAAATTTAATTAATTTCTTAGAAATTTACCTGGAGGTATTAATAAGATGAAAATATAGAATGCTCTTCAAACCTTACTATACAACATATTTTAAAGAGGTAAAGTTTGTGAATTTTGAGTTTGTGACGTTGGAAGGGGTAATCTCTGGATCTACTAAACCGATTTAGATGAAATTTAGTAAGAAGACAGTTTGAGACCCGCGGAAAGACATAGGATACTTTTTATCCCGGAAATCATTCCTTAAGGATGTGAAAATGGGTATAAAAGTTTGTATATGGAATCAACCTAGGGACGAACTGCTAGAGGGTAGTCGCTAGTATTTAATAAGATCTAATTAACGACCTATAGAACTGGGTTACAGATAAATGTTCAATGTATTCCAATTCCAGGGACCGATGTGCCGGGTCAGCTTGCGACTACGTGTTCTCTATCGACAGTCTGTCCCGGGTTCAGCCATCCACATTACGTTACTTGTTGTCCACGGGATATGATGTGATAGCGCCTTTATTAGTCCGAGGAGGACAAGCCTGGTCCAACTTCTGGGGCGCCATCAACTCATCTGGCTTCTACGCTAGATCTACAGACTACATGGATATCGTTAGCCGAAATATAAAGTAAGTAATAGTTGTATATGGAAACCTGCAAGGAACAACATGTGGGGTGGTTTTTTTTCTGTAATGGTTTTGATTTGCGTTAACATACGCAATACATTCTGCCAGTGTCACGTTTTGTGAGGAAGACACGAATGAGATTCAGCGGTAATTTTGAAATTTAACAGCTTTAATGTAGAATTGAAAATATAAATAAATGATCGGTCTGGGGTGTTTTTTAATATATATTTTTAATTTGTCAAATATTTAATTACAATGTTATTCATTGCAGGAGTAGATGTTTCGTAGTATGTTGTTTCGTAAATATATTGTTTTAATGACTTTTGTATACGCTGATTTTGTTCACAATTTCATGGAATTCATTTTTTTTACTGCGCGGAACCCTAATTCTCTTTCTAAAATTAAATAGCCTAAGTAACATCAGCTATCTGCCAGTGAAAGTCCTGTCGAAATCGGTACAGCCATTTCGCAGATTAGCCGGAACAAACAGACAGACAGACAGACAAAAAATTTAAAGAAAGTCATGAGATATTGTATCCCATACAATAAAAAGGAAACTCTAAACATGTTGTTGATTACGTACTTATGAAATAAAAACGGCTTCGCAACTGTACATGATATTTTATTAAAATCAGAATAAATTAATGTTACATTCTCACTTATTTTTCTAATAATATTTGTAGTGATTTAGCAGAATAACAAAAATAAATCCAGTTACGATGGTGAATTAAAAATAATAATTTATTCAACATGTTAAATTATGGAGGCTTATTATATTGTTGGTTGTTTATATATTACAATACATTTACTTCAATCACTAATAAGATCTTATTAAAGTAATTGTGAACGAACTTAAAACTCAGAGTAACAGATTCAAAATATATTTAAAAAGTTAATTTTCAAATATAATCTTTTATGTAATGTATCTCCTGTTTAATCATTATTTCTCTAAAAATCAGGATAATATGATAAAATACTCCAAAAAATATTACAAAAATATGGATAAATGCACAAAGACTGACAAATAAAAAAAAACATATTTATTAGTAAACTATATCTATGATCCGGTGCATTTTAACATAGTCGGTTTTGGAATTCTTAGACGTGAAATGCCTCAATCGAATGCAATAGAGAAATCAGTTTTGAACGAGCGTCTGTCAATAGAGTACATGTTGTCGGCGGTGCACTCGTACACGCCTGCGTCCATCTGGGTAGCGGGATCGATTTCGATCTTAGATTTTACACGATCTTCATCTATGAGCCACTCATGAATCTGTAAAAAAATAAAAATATATATATTTTAACTTAGGTACTATATATAAAAATTACAAGAAGCTTTTGGGTTTTAATTCGAATTAAATATATATAATTTTTTAATATACTTTGCAGTTGTATGAAATGTTGTTAAAAGAAATATCAACAGTTAATCATGAATGGCTTGTTTATGTAAAAATAAATATTTACTGAGACTAAAATATCTATATTAATATTATAAGAAGGTAAAGTTTGTGAGTTTGTGACGTTGTATCTCTAGATCTACTAAACCGATTTAGATGAAATTTGGTACGAAGATAGTTTAAGATAGAAGAAGGACATAGCATACTTTTTATCCGCGAAATCAACCCTCAAAGGGTTGAAAATGGGGATGAAAGTTTGAATTGAGAAGCAATTTAGGGACGAATCCGAGCGAAGCGAGGGTGAGTCGTTAGTATATTTACAAAATTTACTTGTTTAAATCCACAATGTCATATTGAATGGCATGCTGAAAGTGAACATTATTTATTATAACTTTTATTTTGATTTAATTAACTAATAAAACTGGGTTTTTATAACAGATTACCAGGCAGTGTAACTCAGTGTCATGCGCTCACTTGGGTAACCGAGCAAAGCGCGTTCAAATACCGGGTCTCGCACCTCTGATATGTTCATGTGCCAATCATTTCCAATATGATTACCACATGTCTTACATGTCTGAGAGAACTTAGCAAGTTTTCGAAAGACATGTTAAGTCCGCCATCCCGCACTTGGTCAGCGTAGTAGACTATGGCCTGATCCCCCTCGTATTAGAGTGAGGCCCGTGCCCAGCAATGAGACGTTAAAAAGGGCTGAAACACATAACAGCTTATGTATATTTACGTGTAAGTAGTGATGGGCAAATATTTCGACGCCATCCTTAAACCACGTGATGTGCGGTCGTGGCGTCCCTTTCGCAGTGCAGAGGAAGGCAATCTTGTGACCCAATACGTACTCCAGGTCGAAGTGCGAAGCGAGAAGAATTTTTGCACCCTAATATCAAAGCAAATATTATGATTTACTGTATTCGATGTTAAATATTTAAAAATATATATTCTTGTTTAAAAAAAGTCGCTTAAAATGTAAAAAAATATTTTTGCTTTTTAATGAAATCGTTAAGAAATTCGCAAAAGCTTGAATGATGATTATACTTACATCGTTGTTATTGTAGTACTGATCTGATTCAGGGTCCCTATATTTACCAGTAATGGGCAGTCCAATTTGCACCTGTGGAAGGTGACGTGGTTACAGAAACCCCAATAAAAATAAGGATATTTCTATAAAAATTTATAATGCTATGTAATGTTGATAATTCACATTAGGAATTAAAAACAAATGTAATGTAATTTAACCATAGCCTTGTAGTTATTAAGGATAGTAAACCAAACCTTAGACTTAGTTCTCGATCGCGATCGTCCACGCCGGGCTTCGCTCTCTAAAGCGATGAGTAGGAGCATAAATGCCGCAACGAAAGATCGTTTTAGCAACATTTGCGTTACCGACGACCAGGTGTTAACCGCGCGGGAGTCTATCAACTACTGCGTTTGCCGTCGATTGCTTAATGGCAAATGAGTCGGGACCCTTCTCTCCCCATTTGCTCCGCACCGTGATTTCCTTTGCGATTCAAACGTCGTGCTCTCATTTGTTTGATGGGGTCAATGATACACAGGATAATCGAAAGACAAGAGAATTTGAATATATATGTACTTAATCTACTTTATAAGCATTTATCATATTAATAAATAAACACAGCAAACAGCCTTAATGAGTACCATTTAAGACACTTCTTGCTGCTTGTTTTATTTAACATCGAGTGATCTAGGCTTAGGTGTTACTTACCAAAGTTAATGCTTTATGTACTAACTTTGATTTGTATCTAGTAATATATTTTTAGAGGATATTGACGTAGTTGGAGGTAAAAATTAAAACATTTAATGTTAAAAAATAATAAAGTGCAATAATAATAAATAGCATATAAATCATGACCGATTGTGACAGTAATAGTGCTGTTTATATTATACGTATTGATGTTGCGCTTTTAGTTAATTGTATTGTTGACTTGCATCGGTGAATTGCCCATGGGAAAGGTAGATGGATCTAGAATCTAGATATTGCGTCACAGGCGTCATACTGTGAGGGAGTGATCCAACGAGGGGTCCTGTCTCGGCATAATTATGGTATTAGATCGTAAATATATTCATAGTATGACATAGTCATGGATCATTATATCATTTATTTTAAGAATAATCTTTTAATTATGTATAATTATATTTTTTTACATGTATGACTTCTTCTTGATTTACTTGTGAATTATTTTGCAGAGGAATCTGGAATGTGCCATTCATAACAAACTGCTACTTGATGAAGATATCACTTTTCCGCAACGATTATAATAAGGATGTGTCGTACATAAAAGAAGGGCAGGATGCTGACATGGCTTTCTGTGCTAATTTGAGAAGCAAGGTACTATTTTACTTATTTAAGCATATTTTTTTTAATTATATGACTTATCTATATAAGTACATATAAAATTAAAAATTCTAACTGAGTAGAATCTGTACATTAAATATTTTTGGAAAATCCTATTGAAATAGTCATAATTATCGATACAGAAGCCAATTCTCTAGTTTTTAGAATTTTTTGTCTGTCTGGTCTGTCTGGGAATGCATCACGAGAAAACCACTGGACGGATTTTGATGTTTGGTATGGAGATAGCTGGTTATCCGGGTCAACATATAAGATACTTTTTACTGCGTGAAAATATTTCATCTCTGAGAAACCTATATTAAACGTTAAAACCTAACTAGGGACGAACCCGAACAGAGCGAGGTTGACTCGCTAGAATATAAATAAATAAGGGATATACCTTATTTGTTAAACTTTATTTTGAATGAGATACTGTAAATAAATTTTGTGTACACTTAATATATATTTAATATAGGAGTAAATATATTTTTTGTGGTTTTAGGGAATTATGATGTACGTGAGTAACGAAAAGATTTTAGGACATCTCGTGAATCCGGAAACCTTTGACATCACTCGCACCAACCCCGATATATACCAGGTTATGGAAAATAAAATTGAGTGGGAAGATCGCTATCTCAGCCCCGAATATGATTCTAACTTTGTTGAAGGGCGGAATCACTCCATGGTAATAAAACATTTTAACGTAATTTAATAGAGAAAAAATATTCTTTTTATCATAATATATTTGTCTATGGACTTCATGTAATATTATAAATATTTATTGGAAAGTAAAAGTTAATGTTAAAATTGTTATTTGGGATTTTCAATTGTACTAATTCAAAAAGCCCTGATTAAGACGAAAGACTGAAGACAGTTACAATTAATAATCATACATGTATTATTTACATAATAAATGATAATACAATATATTTAATTGTATTTACTGTCAAATTTAACAAAACTATTATTTTCTGATAATTATTTTTTCTTTTTAGATTTTTGAGACACCACCCAAGAAGGTGTCTCAGTCAAAACTGAAAACTAAAGCTCCCCGAAACTGAAAACTTTTTCATTCTTTTCTTCTTTAATTATGTTGTTTGTTTTCTTATTTTATTTTATTTGTTTTTTATAATTACTCTCGCAGCCCTGCCCTGATGTCTACTGGTTCCCTATAGTGTCTGCACGTTTCTGTAAGGAGTGGATAGAAGTGATGGAGGCGTTCGGGAAGTGGAGTGACGGTTCTAATAATGTAATGTTTCTTTTATTATTTACAAGTTTTACATATCTATTTTATTTCAAATGCTCGGGAAAATAATAAGATTTTCCGGTGAAACTCTTAGTTTTACAACTTTTCACACCTTAGTGTACCAACTCTTATGGTTTAAATGGCCCGTGATCGTCGTCAATTGAACTTACTTAAGAAACCTAAAAGTCATTAGTTAAACCTACCATGTACCAAACTATATAATTAAAAGCCAGAAGGATCTCTTTTTTTTTAATAAAAACTCACATTTACTAATTTACGAGCGATATTCGTAATTCTGAAGATTTATAAGTAAAACCTAATATTTACCTGTATAAGGGCTTTTAGAGTAACATATTGAAAAAATATGTTAAGAATTAATTTTATGGAGTTTAATTTATGCGTTGATTTATTCTCAATGATAATTATCGTTTCGAGCCCTGGAACATATTAATTTATGATTGATATATATATAAAAATATGTTAAAACGTTTATTTCTAAAGGATCAACGACTCGAAGGTGGATATGAAGCAGTGCCAACAAGGGACATTCATATGAAACAAGTTGGTTTGGACAAACAATGGTTATATATACTGAAGGAATATGTCCGTCCCTTGCAAGAACTTGTGTTTACTGGCTATTATCATAATGTAAGTTGTTATGTTAATTAGTATCTATTAATAATTATTTATTAATTATAATTAATATTTAATATTATCAATTATTATGTATATATTGCCGTAAAACACCTCTTTAAGGAAATAAATATAAATGATCTTGTCATTTTTTGCTTTCCTATGCTATTATTTGCTGGTCTACTGAGCATGTGTTTTGAAAACTTGCTCGGTTCCTTCAGATATGGTTTCGTTTCGATGATTCCTCCGATATCCTTCACCGTAAGACAAGTGGTAACCACGTTGGAAATGATTTCCTGATGAATGAATGATGATGGAGACCCGGGATTTGAACCCTCTTCACTCGATTTCCCAACAAGCGCATTATCACTGGCTACCACTGCCTTAAAAACTGTAAAAATAGGTATTTAACTAGCTTTAATTTACAATTTCATCCCCCGTCAAGGACGTGTCAATCTGTTGAAAAAATACCATCGAATTCTTACTAAGTAACATTTTATTATATTAAAATATTTTAATTAAAACTATATTGTCGAATTATTTTGCGGATTTGTTTTGATTTTTGGTCCCCGACGCTTGGAATGCTTTAAAACAATCATGGTCACGGGAGAGTCAAGTTTTAGACGTCTCAATTTTTCAATCGTCTTCGTCTCAATTTTATGAAATCAATTTTGTAAAATTGTGGTTGTCGGTTTTTAACAAGTATATAACACCTTTGAGACGTCTAAAACATTAGTCTCTACAGTGACCATGATTGCTATAAAGCATTCGAAACGTCGGGAACCAAAAATCTAAATAAATCCTCGAAGTAATCCGAAAATATAGTTTTATTTTAAAATGTCAAATATTCGCGTAAATCTTAAAAAGTATTATATTATAACATTTTAGCCACCAGTCTCGGTGATGAACTTCGTGGTCCGCTATCGGCCCGATGAGCAGCCGTCACTACGTCCCCATCACGACTCTTCAACTTACACTATCAATATTGCTCTTAACACTCCACGTAAGTCACATATTGTACCAAAAAAGTATTATATAAATTTAATTATAATATAATATTGCGACTATTGCGATTTGCGACCCTGGATTTGAGAGAACTCTTAGATTTTGCCATTTTGCTTTTAATTTTTAAAAGTCATATAGAAGTACGTCCAGTCGTCCTCGAAGGGAAAGATGTGACAGACTGACAGAAAATCCTAACTAGACTACCAACAAAATATTTGAATAAAAATGGAAAAATGGCACACAATATTAAGTATTTGATAAATAATTCTAAATAAAGTTTCTATAGTTATATTTGTACATTGAAAACATTACATTTGCATTACTACTATGTATTGTGATCATACAATTATAAAAGTAATTATATTTGAAACTAGCGACTTACCCTAGTTTTTTTTGAGCAGTACCCAAATTCTTTTTCTAAAATAAAAGTAAATTACTCCTTATAACAGTGAAAATTTCGTTAAAATCGGACCAGCCGTTTCAGATATTAACCGGAACAAATAGACAGACAGACAAAAATTTGAAAATTTGTGTTTTTCTTAGAGGTACCGTATATAATTTCATATGCATTTAGTAAAAAGCTGTTATGATATTACAAACAGACACTACAATTTTATTTATCCGTACACAATAAATATTTTAATTTATGTATGTTAGATGATGACTACGAAGGAGGTGGGTGTAGGTTCATCCGGTACAACTGCTCAGTCCGTGACACCAAGAGAGGCTGGATGCTGATGCATCCTGGACGTCTCACCCACTTCCACGAAGGTCTACGCGTCACCGAAGGCACCAGATACATCATGATCTCCTTCGTTGACCCATAAACTATTCAGTTATATTATAAACTACATATATATATATATATATATATATATATATATATATATATATATATATATATATATATATATATATAACTATACTACACATATTATTACAACGTTTGCCTGATTTGAGCATTTTTTAAAAGATATTTTGGATATTATTATCGGTTTTATCTTCTTATAAACTTGATCCCCAATGTTGATTTTCCCATGTTATTATTAATAATTGAATTGCATTTATTTTATTAAACGATATTGTATTAGGATAAGTGATATGCAATCGTATGCATGTAGTTTCTATGCGTTCTGGGATACATTTATCTGTATATCTTAAATATACAGAATCCCATACTGTAGGGAAACCCATAAACTTAATATTGAGACCAGAACGCTACTTTTCTCTCATATAATCTTATAAAATATTAGTAATTAGTAAGATGTCCGGTTAATTACACTCTTTTTATATGTTAATTTAATATGTTTATTTAGAACTGTGTACAATATTGTATTTTTTCTGATTTTGTATTTTTTTATATTAGTTAAGCAAGAATTTTTAATATTTTCACGATCAATATTACGCTACTACATTACGCTACTATTTACATTGATTCCTAATAATTTTAATATAGATTTATCATAATTTAATTAACATTATAAATTGTTTTGTTAACTTGCCAAAGATATCGGACTATCAATTTTAAAATAATAAATAGTAATACTAAAATTGGTCTTTTATTTTTTCTTCTATGTAAGTAACGTACCTACATGTTTAAAAAGCACTGCAGTTGCTATAAATAAATAATTATATATTTATTCGTAGATGACCAAGACCTGATGTTCAAGATGGGGTTGTTTTGGTATAGTAACCCTATATCATTAAATTTGTAATAAATTATCTTCATTTTGATACTTGGTTGGTTCCGGAAAAAACGATGGAATACAAGCAATTAACTAATTACTTCAATTTACCTGTTTATACCTACCTGGATGTCAGGTAATGTGTAATCGACATGCGTTAACAGACGCAATCCATTCTGCCAGTGTCACGTTTTGTGAGGAAGACACGAATGAGATTGAGCGGTAATTTTAAAATTTGGTAACTATATTGTGGAATTAAAACTATAAATGAATGATCGGTCTACAGGAGTAACCTACAACAATAGAAAAATAATTACGTAATACAAAAATGACACATTGATTGAGAATGAAAATATATACATGATGAGAACTATATTGTAATTTAATTTTATTATCTACTATAAATTTAACTAGTTTTTTAATAAATGGGTTAAATACAAGGGCTAATTAATAAACATTTGGTGTAAACTGGGCGGTGAATTTGAGGAGGGATTATATTATGTAGGGAATATTTCAATTTGGGCCAATTAAAGAGAATATGATCAGTGGAACCCTCATCTCAGCCACATTCACAAATAGAGCTATTTCTAATTTTTGATTTTGCTAAATAAACCGTAGTGCACGCCTGGCCTAGACGGAGCCTACATATAATTGAGGTGGTTTTGCGGTCTGTACGGCGAAATTGTAAGAACCACGGGGCATTAGAGCATTAGAAAGCATTCGAAACGTCGGGAACCAAAAATCAAAATAAATCCGCGAAATAATCCGAAAAGATAGTTTTTATTTAAAATGTCAAATATTCGCGTAAATCTAAGAAAGTATTATTTGAATCATTTAGTTCAATAAACCGTATTCCACGTACTTCATAGATTTTGATTAAACAGAATGGCATAGATAGGTATGTAGGTGGAACATGCGCATAGCGAACACCCCGGGTCCGGGTAAAGCACGTACACCTATTATTCCTAAATTATTCGGTTTCTGATCGTAGATGACCATAGGCAGTTCTCAACTATGTCCAGTGTATTAGAAAAAACCTTAACGTTTAAGCTTAAAGTCCTTTTACGTTTTATTTAACACCTCCAAGTAAATTTCAAAGAAATAAACTAAATTTCTTAGAAATCTATTGTTAATTGTAACGCCAGCGTGTCCGCGGCCGTATCGAGGGATTAATAAATAATTCGCTTATCACAAGATATTCGATATAGATATTATATTGATAGAAATTATCCGCTTATCAATCTCTTTTCTATTAATTTTAAAACAAAGTGCCCCTATTGCTGCCATTTGTTTTGTCGTCGCTATTCAATAACTATTGACCTAAATTTGCCCTGATAAGGACTTGATTATTAAAAGTAGCTTTAGCAGGACATATATCTAGTATTGTAATTTAAATAATTAGTTTTCGAAATACTAACAGTAATACACATTTGTATTGAATTATAAAGTATATAGTTAAATATATTCTACCGAGCTATGAATTGACGCTTTCACTTTAACGAGAACGATAAGATATTACAGATATATAAAATTGACGTACATACATAGAAATGAAATTAAAAAGTTGTATAGGTATGTACTCGTATTTAGTTGTGAGGTAATTAAGTTGTATAGGTTGTATAGTAAACCATTTTTCTATTGAGATGGTAGATGGTATTTACAATTAGAATGTGCTTTGTTCAGTAGGGTTCTAAATTTACCATGAATATTTCTAAGTGGGTATATGATGTTTTTATCTATTATATTTAGTACTAGCCTTGCCCGCGGCTCCGCCCGCGTTCAGATGACCAAAAACCAAATTCTTAGGTTTTATATATTAGTAGGTATACTCTTCTTACATTGCAGTTTTTGTATTTTTTTCAGAAATGAGGTAAAAAGTATCCTATATCTTGACCCGAATAACCTGCTGTCACCATACCAAATTTCATCAAAATCCATCCAGTGGTTTTTCTGTCATGCGGTAACAGACAGACAGACAGACAGACAAAAATTCTAATAACTATAGATTCGGCCTCTGTATTTTTCAACACTATTTCAATAAGATTTTCCAAAAAATATTTGATGTACAGATTCAGCTTAGTTAGAATTTTATTATATGTATAGATTTCGAAATCTCGTCAAGACGGTGAAAGTTTAGTAGCTAGTACTGACTTTCTAGCCGAAGAATCACCTCTATTCTACATAACCTTAAGACTTATATGACGACGATAGTATGACTTATACAACTGCCCCTGATACTTTTCTGGCAGCAGAGTGAACCGTGGGAGCAATTTCTTGGTTGTGTGGTCTGCTTCGGCAGACCTGCTGTCGGGGCGTCGTGATTGAGTGCATAAGCGATCTTGCGACGCCCCGGACGGACGAAAGAGGTCCCACATAACCACCTGTATGTATACAGGTGGTATGCCCAAATGCATTCATTTCCCAAGATTAAAAAAAAAGATTCTAAATTACGACAAGGTATTTAATAACAATGTTAATTTCCTTATAATGGCTCACTTGAACTAGATGGATCAATAACATCTGTAGACTCTTTAGTCTCGTGTGATTTAAAGTTATTGAAAACCTTATTTGGATAACGATAATGTTTACCAAAAGCGGGCTCAGAATATTTTTTAAACCGTTTGAACTCCAATTCTTCCTTCTTCCATTCTTTTTCACTAACGAAAGGGAAAAGGCGTCTCATCCACAAAGGAACGAACTCATCCATATAAAAGAAACGTCGTCGCCAAACCTTATGTGTGTCGCAATAGCTTCCACTACCACCACCGATCCACGAAGGTAGACTAAAATAGAAAAAAATTGATTAAAATTAGGAAAAACAACGTTAGTTTAATCAGACTATAAGAAGGTTATAATTTTAACTACTCTTACAGGCTGAGATGTCTGAGGGCCCAGCGGTAGGCGTTGGTGTAGAAGTAGGCGGAGAGTGGGTTGAGAGGAGGGTACCCCATACTACTCGATAAACCAGCCGCGAGTGATACAACGGTCATGCCTACCTGATATCCTTCTATCATCACTACCAAACCCTGTTGAATATTTTCTTTTGAGGGTAAATGGACTTTCATAGATATTTCTGTAAAGTTTGAAAATAGAAACCAGTACATAATATATTAAAAACAATTGATTATTTACAACAGCATTTAAATTTAATGTACTCGTGTGACCAAATAAAAGATACTTTTTATGCAATAGACAAGTAAAATAGGTATAGTATAATTAACCTGTAGTTGGTATAGAAAGATCGAGTCCCAATCTTGGTCTCCAGAAGAATGTTCCTGGGACAGCGCACTGAAAAAAAAATAGAATGTATTTGATAGGCCAATTTAAATCAAAATTGTATCAAAATTGCGCTTTTTATATGATAATACCTAAAATATACGTAAATATATTGAGGGTAGTCTAGAAAAGGAGCTATTAACAGATAAGTTAAAGTGTAAAAGATCAGCGTGGTACGATCATGTGAAGCAGAGAAATGAACAGCATATAGCAAAAAGGGTGATAAATAAATAGTTTAGACGGAAGACTGTGACCGAAGAAGGTATGGATGTATTATATAAAACAGGATATAAATATAAAGAGAAGCAACTCAAATATGACTAATAATGTAGGAAACGTTACTTACGTTACCGATACAATATTGTGTTGACTTCACATGAATGGGAAAAAGCCAAGAAAAAGAAGAATACCAAGAAAAAAATGTAAGTACCACATAGAAGAAATTTAACGTGATTAAAATTGCAAATTTCTTAAGAATTGAAGACGCTTCGTTGATGCTTCTCGGACATATTCTCACACTGGGTCAGAGGAGAACAACTGCATCAGACAAATCAAGGCAAGGCTGGCAACAAGATACTTAGAATTTTCATGTTCGCATAGGACGAGCATTAGCGTCATCCTGGCATCAGTGCCTACCGGTAGTCAAACAACATAGCCAGCAAATACTCTAATAATTGTTGGAAGATAAATAACGTAATACTTAACAAAGGGTTTGAATACGTATGGCTCCTAAAGTGAGTTAGTGAGTAGAGTCTAAGCTTTAGATTTCAGAATAAAATTTCATGATAATTTAAACAAAATTCAAAGTTTAAATGTTATCTGGAACATATTATTATTCTAAACAATATATATATATATATATATATATATATATATATATATATATATAATTATTCTAATAGTAATTTGTAACATATTTTTTTTTTAACTTTTAAAATACCAACTTATGTATAAAACAATTAGTATTATATGCAAGTTGCAACCATTCTAAAGTAGGTACTATTATATTATACTTACTTTTAATAGTGGAAGAAGAACTACAAATAACATATACAATAAGATCTTTTGATCCATTGTGAGAAATAAAACAGGTATTGCTGAGTGAAGAGTAGCGGCACAATAACGCGATCTTCTACGCCTTATGCGATATCAAATGCAATTCAACTCCTTTGTTATGAACACAATAAATACCGTATGCCAGGAAGCCTATTTTTACACAAACCATGGCGTGCAAGAATCAATGTACTGGTTCTAAATTCTTCATTTCTGATCAATATTTGTTTGTTTTGAAAACAATGTTAAATGAAATTTACCTATAGATATTTTTCTTTGAAAATGTAATCGTATATTTTGAAACGAAATTTCTTCTCGCATGTCATATTCGGTTTACTAGAAAAATAAGAGTTAGGCGAAAAAAAGTGTAATGTTAAGAACGTTACGACACGACTTTTTATTATTTACTAGCGACTCACCCTCGCTTCGCTCAGGTTCGTCCCTAGGTTGATTCCCTATACAAACTTTCATCCCCATTCTCACCCCCTTAAGGGATGATTTCCAGGATAGAAAGTATCCTATGTCCTTCCCAGGGTCTCAAACTATCTTCTGACCAAATTTCATCTAAATCGGTTCAGTAGATCCAGAGATTGCCCCCTACAACGTCACAAACTCACAAACTCACAATTCACAAACTTTACCTCTATTATACTCGTATATTAGTATTAGTATAGATTAAAGTGACGATTAAGGATATAACTTAAGACGTATGTACATATGTCGTAAGAAATTCGCATGCACTCCCTTAAAGCAGGCCCTTCTTCGATGAGCTTGTTGAAGCTCATGAATGAAGTGTACATTGTACAATGTATGTCGCTTGATGTTTATGATATTCTAGTACTCATGTAGACAGTTGAAAGGAACTTCGTTTCTACACGCCTCCCACGACACCTCTCATATTTTTTTACAATGTCTAGATATTAATGTGTGTGTTCTATCAACTATTATAATAATGTCATAAGATTATTTATGATATATTCTTGAGGGCTGTGCTTCTTGGATAATAAATAAAAATTCTCAGGATAATCGAGTGTATTAAGTACACTTGTAGAGGTGCAACTTAATTAATTAATTATAGATTGGATAAAAATTAGTATTAAATAATTTTATTTATATACATAAAAAATATAATAAGGTTATATCTTATAGTATTAAATGACTCAGTTGATAATTTTTGTATATTTATATACTCATTTATTTCGTGTATCTCGGAAACTGCTCCGACGATTTGGATCAAATTTGGTATTTATATTAAGTTTTGCTTTGCAATGGTACCATATATTAGTCATGGAAATTATTTGGATGACATGGAAATTATCTATATAGGTTTCTTTTTTGAAAAAAAACCATGATTTTATAAAAAAAAACTGAGCGAATCTCGGTCGTCCAGGTAAGATATATAATATTATGTTAGATTAGGTACTTATGTATATACACCAAATTGTTTAGATTATAGAAAAATCTATGAATATTTAAACAAAATTGCGAATAAAGGTATGATTTAGTTAAAAGTTTAAAATTCTTACTTTGATAATGGCTCTACATAAAATCTTTGTGTTGGTTTTAGAATTTGAAATGTGCTTTTACTATACAATTTTCTTCGGATTTGATGTTTATATAAATTTTGAAACTTATTTGGTTTCCGTCTGGCCATGGATTAGTAGATTTAAATTTGTTAGCTTTTGTATTCATCGGTTTTATTCAATTAATTTCCATGATATGATTTTAATATGCTCCCTTTGGCTTTGGATAAAAAAAATCTAGATTTAATTTATCGCTCACGATTACCCAATTCGCATGTAGGTAGTCCTAATTTCAGAATATACTGAAAATCGATTATATATTTCACTTTTTTTTAGTACACGTAGATTTGGTTGCGAACATTTATGCTAGAATTTATTTATTAGGATATTTGGATTGCATTTAAAAGTATATTTCTTTAGTTTTTAATCTCTTGAAATGGCATTAAATTGCGAAATCTAAATCTATAGAGAAAAATGCTAAAAAGAATAACAGGTCCCGTTTTGAAGAAAATTAAAACTGCTTTTTAATGGAACATCTTAATAATAAAAAAATTAACTCGTGTAACAGCAGTGTGCTCTGAGTGCGAAAATTTTCAATTTTTTTCGAATGACTGCGCGATTGCACTAATCGAGTAAAGGACGATTTCACTGCACTTTGTTAGATTTTATTGATTCATCAATAACAATCATTAGATTATTAGATCATGAAAGTTCTAACGGACTGTTAAGGTTAGTAAGTGTTCTTCAATTGCTATTGAGTCATTTATTGTCTTAATCAAAGACTTTTGCCTTTAGTTAGATTTTTATTATGTAATAATTATATTTAATATTTTGAATTGCTACTGTCTTAAGTACTGATTTATAAGAATTTGGTAACATTGGCAGTTAAGGTCAAGAGAGAAAATGATGCCACTTTTTATCACTAGATGGCGTGGTTTCAATTCCTAAGAAATCCAAAAAAAATGTTGTATGATCTCGTTCAGTATGTGATTTAAAAAACAAAGTAAATAAAAATCAAGTAGGTAATGCCCGATATACTTAATAATAGGTGTTAAAAACATATCAATTAACATTTTTACTTAGGTATACAATTTTGTATATATATGATATACCATCCATTTTTGGGGTTCTAAATTCTAAATTACATATTTGTAACAGACACTGGCATTTTGGACGTCCGATAAAGTATTTTTTTCAAATTATAAAGTTTAAATTGTAACTTATTAGTGATTGCTGACTAAACAGATATAAATAAATACGCGGATAGCAATAAAATCTAATTATATCTTAAAAAGCATCAAAGAAAATTTAATCTTACGATAATTTAATAGCAAAAACTTCTTTGTAAATACCTTATAATTATCGTCCATCTTATTAAATTCCATTTTATATTCTCATAATAACGTAGAGTTGGAGCATAAATTGCTTTAGAAGTTACCTACTAGTTAGGAGTGATCGTATCTGGCACATCAGGTTAATCTTATTATTGGGACATGCATAATTCTGGACGAAACACGTTATGTCAATTTTATCTATACTAATAATATTATAAAGACGTAAAGTTTGTGAATTTGTGAGTTTATAAGGTCGTAGAGGATAATCTCTGGATCTACTGGACTGATTTAGATGAAATTTGGTAAGAAGATAGTTTGAAACCCTGGGAAGGACATAGGATACTTTTTATCCCGGAAATCATCCCCTTTAAGGGGGATTTTATCTCCCTGTGAAATAATGTAACACTTTATAGCGTTCATAATGATAACTTGAAGTTCGTATTGCAAAATATCTCAACACAATCTTTCCTAAGTATCGCTAAGTAGCGTCCTTATTTGCATGCACAATTTCATCAATTAAATTGGATTGATAGTAATCTTATTGATAGACTAGCATTGCCCGCGGCTCTAATGCACAGATTCGGCTTAGTTAAATTTTATTATATGTATAGAAATAGGGGTTTCCCGCGGAAAAAGGTATCCTATATGTTGACCCGGATAACCAGCTATCACCATACCAAATTTCATTAAAATTCCTGTAGTGGTTTTTCTGTGATGCGATAATAGACAAACAGACAGGCAGACTGACAGACAGACAGACAAAAATTCTAAAAGCTATAGATTCGGCGTCTGTATCGATAATAATGATTATTTCAATAAGATTTTTCAAAAAATATCTAATGCACAGATTCGGCTTAGTTAAAATTTGATTATATGTATAGAAATAGGGGCACCATGCTAGGATGAACAGTAGCTTTTATTAGGTACTCCCAGCCCACAAAATATGTCTATCGAAAATGTTCTAAAATATTACTGCCTCTACGTTAGTCCAGAGGTTAGTAGTAGTTGCAATAGCACTTCGAGCTAGGAAGTTGGCGATGTTACCTTCCGGTCCTGCGCTTAATTTCTTGACGTTCGTGTCATCCCCTTGAATTAAAAGAGCGAAAGAAATAGACAATTCATTTATGTTTGAGCACATAATATCTACTTTTATACTATAACGAGACTTTATTTTATCCTATAACATTTCAATAAGGAGGGCCTTTTCATGCATAAAATCAGCTCTGCCTACAATAATTTTACAGTTACGGTTGAGAGAAACCCAAACAAAATCAATACTAATGTATAATAATTAAAGAACAAAAGTAAATTTTAATCAGTCCGTATTAGTATTATAAATGTAAAAGTTTGTGAGTATGGATGTTTGTTACTTCTTCACGCTAGAATGGCTGAATCACATTCTATCACATTTTATCCCGGAAGAATGTACGGTTCCTGTGGGAAGGTTTGTTTTTTCCTAGAGGGAACCCGAGCGAAGCGAGGGTGGGCCGCTAGTTACAAAGTATAAGAACTTGAACTTTATACGTAACAAAAAACTCGTCATACCCTGGCGAAAAAAGCTAAATACCACTCAATTAATATTTTTACAAAACTTGTCCACAGTTAATGTTTTACTATGCAAAGATTTTTTTCATATCTTACTAACTTTGTGTGAATGATTTATTTAATAGCAACCTTGTACTTACCATTAATAATATACTACTTTATCTACCACATAATGAGTAGTAGACAGCACTAAGTATGCTATAAGTAAAGATATAAGTAAAGATATAAAGAATAAAGCCATTTAGCTCGTGTTAGATATAAACTAATTACATTGATCAACATTTATTTATTAAAGTTAAGAAAAATAATATAGGTATATTTTTTACAAAAAGAATGAAAGTAACAAAACATGTAAATTAATAGTACCTAATAATTGTATTCCTCCATATAACTTATACAATTTATTGAGGAAAACAATTTTCCAATTTAAGTAATATATTTAATACCTACTCTCGATAATCTTTGCTACAATAGTTCTTCTTCTCCTCTTACAGAGCAGTAAAAAGAAGAAAGAAGAAGAGAGTGAGTCATTTTATGTTGTTTTCCTTCTGATATATGCATTTGCAACGCCATTCAAAATTGGAAGTCGCACCCAACCTCAATGTAATAAATAGGGTCAGCCTCTCCATACCGTATAAAGTGTATTTATACTGTTTATCCTACATTGAAATATCACGTCAAGAAACAGAGTATAACTTCAAAATAGTAAACAAAATGAAATTTTTAGTGAACAGATTAAATTTTAGTGGAATTATAACAAATCTATATTAATTTAATTAAAAAAAAATATTACACTTAATAATATTCATTTAGTTTTGATTTCAATTATTTTGAGCAAAAAAGGACATTAGCGCCTTTTCCTGTAAGTGGTCAAAATATGAACTAGAAAGCAATGAGGCTAGTGGCGACGAGCATCGATCGGTGTTAAGTCCCCGCCCTGTAGTACCTGCGCGCACTTCATGCTAAGCTTTCCTTGCTCACTTCACATCTTTACTTCATGTATGAATCGTAGTATCTATACGCATTTTTGTTTAGCTAACCCCATTAACAAATATCTGACACTCGAAGGTCAGACAATAGTATTTTACCTAGGGCTTATTCTTTCTATGCGGTCTGTTGCCACACCAGCTAATCTCACGCGTGTTGTCGACAAGGCCGCAAATCATTGTACCTAGCCGTGACATTTCGATAGTACTACAAGTGTGAAGCTTTGATTTGTAAATCTGTGAACCTCTGTTTACTGTGAAAATTATAAATAAATACATAACAATCATTCGTATTTACTATTTAATGAAAATTTTTGATGAAATATGAACGAATAACATCGAAATTGTTTCTTTCTGATGGTGAGACCTTAAATGTGAAGTGAAATCGACGCTTTGTACGTCTTGCGGAGCATCTCGTCCCGTTAGCTAACAGAGGACGGCACCACGTTCCGTCACAGCAAGCTGCGTTACTCCAACCATTTTCCACCAAGAGGATCTCCCCTTAGAGCGCGCGAGCAGTCGGTCAAAGCAGCGTCATTGAGCCGTATCGAAAGCGGGTCGCGGGCGGGCGCGGGCAGCGAGTGCGGAGGCGGCGCGCCCGCCGGCGGCTCCGTCCGCCCTGGCTACGGCTATGAAGCGCTCTCTGCCGCCAGCGACGGCAGCGACCAGGAGCCCGACGAGGCGCCAGAATACGCCCCTTTTGAGATGGAACTGTCTGGAGGTGGAGAATCCGCTGAAGGTCCATCCTCTAGAGGCTCCGCTAAAGTTAACTTTCCGCCCGATGTGCAGTTGGAACGTCGACCGACCGGTACCTTCGCAAGCGCTGCGGCGGCAGCATTCCATCGAGGCCGTGGTCGTTCTATGAGTGCGTGGAGTGATATCAGTCGCTCGAGCATCCGATTCGAGGAAAGGTAAGTAAGAATACCGTACTTGGTACATTATATTCGAGTGTTCAGCTATTTTAGCAAATATATTCGCATTCCATAGAGGTATAGTAAGTAAAGGATACATAAACATGCGGTAGGATTTGACAAGGGTGCCAAATAGTATTAGAGTAGAGTAAACTGTGTAATTGCCTGTAGAAGGCGGTCGCAGCAAGGGATGACAACTTTAACTAAGGGGTTCTATTTACACTTACCATTCAATCATAAACAAAGCAATAAACTTATCATTAACATGGCGGGCGCATCGAGTACACGAGCACGGCTGTGAGACACGCTACGGCATGCGCAGTGAAGCGCAGCGGGCTACACCCCTGTGTGCAAGGTTTAAATACACACGCATTACAACTCTGGACTCAGCTAACAACCACTTTTTTTTAACCGACTTCCGAAAATGAACATTTCTCTTAATTTAACCTGCTTTATAATTTTTTACGAGCTTACCTTAATTATTATTATTTTTTAAATAACACGAAAATACTATGATCTATAGATTAACTATTAAAGTCTATAATACACAAGAATATGTCCCATAATAAAACATAATTATTATGTGTCTCAGTTTTGATAGTTTTGAAAAAATCGCCACTTGAGTGAATGAATGTTATTAGTAGGTATTATCTATAAATTATAATTATATTTAAGATGAAAAACGCTTAATATAAATTAAAAGTATTATAACGATTTTATTTGTTACGTACGACCTTATTTATGTAAGATATTGTGAGCTTAGTATATATTTGAATTAAAAAATCTGCGACCACTGCGATGACAACACGACCTCATTTCTTTTATTCTAACCTAAATATTTAAGAGCGCTTGCAAACTTTTCGTTAAAATCCGCATAATTATCCAAATGATTTGTAAACTTTTTGCCAAAGTCCAAAGACAAACATTATTTATACTACTGTTTGTATACAACTTAATACCTATTTCGAAAAACAAACGACGATGAAGTGGGTCAATTTTTATGTTCTTTTATATGATTTCTATGAAAAAAATTACAAAATACTTATCGGCTTTCAGACAACCAGTGTTTTTTGTAAAATGGAATGTTGCTCCAATATTCATTTAGAAGTAGTAAATCTCAAGTCTGCCTTTAATTTAAATCTATACCTACTAATAGTAGAAGGAGGTAGAGTTTGTTTGTTTGAATGCGCTAATCTCAGGACCTACTAATTCGTTTTGAAATTTTTTTTTTGTATTAGATGGCCTGTTTATTGAGGAAGGCTATAGATCATACCGGAAAAATGTACGATTCCCGTGGGATAGATTTGTTTTTGTCTAAACGATACCAAAGCAAAGCGATGGTGAGTCACTAGTCCTAAACAATGGTACTTGATGATATATATATATATATATATATATATATATATATATACACATATGAACTCCATAATGACATGCAATAGTATTAACGTAAATATACGTCAATTCTTAGGCAACATAAGAAATATATAGAGATAAGACCATATAATATTGGAAGTCAATAAAAGTAACACTTAAATTTGTGCTATTGTAATGACTACAACTAATATATCCATAATACTATCGACATGTCCATATTTTATATTGTACGGCCATACCTAACACATTGTATACGTAGAAAGCATCACTTTGAATGATAAATGCTGTAATGCATACCCATACGAGATATTCAAGTTTCTATTTGAATTTTCATGCCCCGGCTGAATTCGTTCAAGAGGAAGCTCTTCAGATGAGACAAACCGAGTTGGCACAGGCGATTTGTTCCGCCAGAGAGCATATGTTTACGTCAACACTGAGTTTGAAAGGGTTTAAAGCGATTCATAAAGATATTTCAAAGCACACATACCTACAAATCGAACAAACGAAATCTAAAACTCAAACCTCATATTATGTAAGTTCTTACATACCTACTTATATGGGTTCTAAATGCTATTTTTATTTTATCTTTATAAAAGGGAAGCAAAAAATTTTTTTCAAACATGATCACATACTTACGTACTTAGATTAAAATCAGTGCATCTTTGAGCTTATGAGTATCTAAATTAGGGACATGAATTGGTCCTTTGACAATTCTGAAAGGCAAATTAAAAATAACGGTTTTTAGATAAACAAAAAAAAATAGAACAATTATATCGCTATAAACTATAATTCGATATTTTAACTTACAAACTAGAAATTTGATTATGCATTATACTCGTATTAGATTGATCTCCGTATCTACAAACTTTTATTGAAATTGACTAGAGGTAAAATTTTGCATGTGTAACTTTGATAGTTTTGAGACAGATAAGAGGACTATGGTTCTGAAATCTATACTAATATAGAAAATATAAAAATAACTCGGTCTATTTGTTTGTTACCTTTTCACACTTTATTTTGCTAGATAGATTTTGATGAAAATTAGCAAGGACATAGATTGCATAATAGAGACGACATAGGGTACCTGTTATCCTGCCTCCTTAATCATAAGACGAATAGAACCGCGCGCAAAAACTACTATAAAGCTGATACGAGACTGTAATGCAATCAATTGTAATTTTTGTAAATTCAGGATGGTAGGTATTTTATTCGCTAATCTCACAAATTACAAGGCATTATACGACCAAATTCTGTATGGCCAAAGCGCATTTATATGCCCAGTCCAGATTTTTATCCCAGAAAATGAAATAGTTCCCGAGGGATGGGATAAAAGTTTTATGAAAATTTTATTACTGTGCGGAACTACCTACTGTTTGGATTGTAATGTAAATTAGACCGATCAGTATTCAGTGTAGCTTTATTACGAAAGGAATACCAGGCAGAACTTAATTTTTTTATTTTATGCAAATTACTAAATTAATTTTCATATTAAATAATTATTTTACTATTATTGGTGCACATTTTTATTAAATCGTTGGTACCATATACCTATTGTGATTATACAGCCTATGAAATTAAACATTAAAATCAGTTCGAAATGGGCGAAGATATCGTGTAACATACACACAAAAAATCTGCCAAATTAAAAACCACCTTTTTTACCTATTATATGAGAAATATTGCATGGATTTTGACATAATGTTTTTCATATTTTATGAAACTAACTAGCATTGCCCGCGGCTCCGCCCACGTTCGAACGACTAAATTAAACTCTTTTACATACAAGTATTATTATACATATAAACCTACCCATTACATCGTGTACAAAAAAAATTGAAAAAAAGATGCCGGAAATTGGCAACACCCACAAAGGTCCCTCTTTAAATCTCATATTTAATTAAATAATATTGTATTTTTCGTTTTAACAACAACATTCATTGTCAATCTGTACTTCTATACTAATATTATAAAAAGGAAAGATTTGTTTAACTTTATTGGCATATTATAGCGATAAACTTTTTTAATAATAATGATTGAGTAATATTTAGCGGATTATTTAAACTACATAATACTGAATTTTTCTTAATATTTATTTCTCGTGAAGCGAGGATGGACCGATAGTTGGTTGTATTTAATTTGTATTTTCAACCGACTTCAAAAAGGAGGAGGTTCTCAATTCGACTGTATTTTTTTTTTGTTTTTTTTTTTTTATGTTTGTTACCTCAGAACTTCGTCATTTATTGACCGATTTGGACAATTTTTGTTTTTGTTGGTTGTATTTAAATAGCCAAAAATCCTAAAAATTGTTGATTTGGCTTTACAAACATCGGCATAACATAAATTTTTGATTGTGTTCAAATGTTAAACCTCAATATTTACTTGTCATGTCTTTGTTATGTTTCCGAAAAATAAAACTACGATTTTGTTTCAAAATAGTATCAATTAATTGAGAGCCCGACGTTGTTGAAGACTGGCCTGTTGTGACGATTTAAATCGGTTGCAATTCAAAACTACTACTGCACGTCAAGTAGTTGATTTTAAGCCAATTTTTTAAAACAAGCAACCCTAACGATTGGATGTAAAATAAGCTACGTAAAAGCCTTTGTACAGTATACTTGTATTTCATTTCTACTTTTGCTTGTAGCATATATGTACTTATACATAAAAACATTTTTTCACTTAATTTAAATCAGTTTCTTCCATATAATATTTTTATTATGTTTTGGTAATCCATACTAATATTATAAATGTAAAAGTGTATGTGTTTGTGTGTTTGTCCTTTTTTCACGTCGAAACGGAATGACGTATAACCGTTATTTTTTGTGTTGAGATAGTTGGAAAGCTGGAGAGTGACATAGGCTACTTTTTACCGCGGGAGATTATCTCATTTCCATAGGAAAACACGTTACAATACAACTCAAAAAAATATTTATGATCAGAATTACTTGAAACTTGGTATACATGCTGTTCAATACAATTAAATAAATACGTGTTTTAGAATTTTTTGAAATTCATCCCATAAGGGGGATAGGGAATGAATTTTTGTATGAAACCTACCTTTTTAAGAGTTTTAATTGTAGTTTTAGCGCGAGTGTAGCCGCGGTTTCTACTAGTTATTTATAAGTATACAATGCATACACAGATACTTACAATAATAGAATAAGAATAAAATCGTACAAGAAAAAAAAATAACCAGAAAAAATACAAACTGAAGTACATATGTGTGATGATAGCTTTTCTCCTCGGGTCAAATCGTGATGATAGGCAGTAAAAGATTTTTTCTATTTTTACTGGTAGATATATATACGCTCAAAAACACAAAAAAATCTTCAGTAGTAAAGAGTACTAGGTTTTATAATTCAAGCGCGGATCCAGGGGGGGGGGTCATAGGGGTCATGACCCCAAAGCCAAATATACTTTTAAGAGAAGTTTGAAGTCTAAGAAAGGAAGGAATAAACGGATAAACATTTCAAAAATAATAACAAAAATATAACGAATAATCATTTAAAAAAATGCTTATTATATGTATTTTGAAGATTATATTCCCCTAGTTTCATAAATATCAAAGAGTTTTTGTAGAAATCTATATACATATAATAAAATTGTAACTAAGTCGAATCTGTACATCAAACATTTTTTGGAAAATCTAATTGAAATAGACATTATTATCGATACAGAGGCCAAATCTATAGTTTTTTAGAATTTTTGTTTGTCTGTCTGTCTGTCTGTTACCGCATCACGAGGAAACCACTGGACAGATTTTGATGAAATGTATATGAAAAATATTTTTCGATAAGATGTCACAACAAGCCAGAAATTAAAAAAAAAAGCTAAAGTCTTAAAACCTTCCAATCAACCTAGGGACCCAAGCGAAGCGAGGGTGAGTCGCTAGTGCATTTAATATAATAAATAAGTAGTACC